ACAGCCCATTCATCAGATGCATAGAATGGAACATATAGTAAGAAGATGTATACATACAGAGAACATGGAAAGGTGGAAGTTGCCATACCAACTCTAAGAGGCTAATTATCAACAGGAGAAAAAAAACTTTTCTAGTGATGATCAAGATGGCCCATTTCAGACAGTTGACTTTGTAGTGATAATCAAGATGGCCCATTTCAGACAGTTGCCTCTTAGAGTTGGTATGGCAACTTCCACCTTTTCATGTTTTCTGTATGTATATATATTGCCTTACTATATGTTCCATTCTATGCATTTGATAAAGTGGGCTGTAGCCCACGAAAGCTTATGCTCTAATAAATTTGTTAGTCTCTAAGGTGTCGCAAGGACTCCTGTTTTTGCAGATACAGACTAACATGGCTGCTACTCTGAAACCTGAGATGGTTGTGGCATTGTTAGGACCTCTGCTGTGAAAATTTTGATGTCCTGAGAGAGGATGCTTGTGTGGCCCCAATAAGCACATCCTTCTGGAAGGTTTACAAAACTCAGTGGTGCATCACACAAGTATGACTGTGAAGAGGCAACATTCTTGTAGAAATAGGTTACTCACCAGTAACTGTATCTTCTTTCTTTAGGTTCAGGGCATGTCCTTCATAGCTGCAGTGTTGATCTTGAATTTGGATACTGCAGATGCCTTCATTGCTTTTTCTAACCTTCTGAATAAACCCTGTCAGATGGCATTTTTTCGAGTGGACCATGGCCTTGTAAGTACACAGGAAACGCTAATTCCTTTATGCTTCTACTGAAGATCTGTTCAGGTACAAGACAGAACTTCAGCAAGGGTTCATAGTCTGTTTTTCAAAGTTCTAACAAACCTCTATTTTTAAAGCAACAGTTAAAAAATAAAACTTACTGAAAGGGGAAAACTGAATGAAATAGCTGCCCAGTACTGTGTGATGCTCCGAGATTGAGCATGATTATTCTAAGTGCACCAATTTAATGCATGCATTGTAAATGGGAGCCCAAATCAGATTAACAGCCTTACAAAAATTGATTGGAAGGCAGTTTTTATCCCAAACTAATAGGTTGCTAAAAATAAACTGTTGATGCTTTACAATTTGAATCAGGTTCCCCATTTCTCTCTCTCATATATTGCTGTGTCAGCTTGGATTTGAAATGTAGCTAAGGGGATTAGGCAACCAAATCCTTACTTCCTTAAGCTCCTTTGAAATTCCCAGCTGGCATGTATAACATACTACATGTGGAAAATACCACAATTTCCAAACTTAATTCCAGTTGTAGTAGCTCTAACAGATCTGCTTAAGTTGCCTCATGAGTTTTTTGAAAATCGTTTTATTTGACAAAGAAATATGACGTTCTGTACGTCTTCCCTGTTTTTCTTTTTTAAACTAGAAGTATATGCATAAAAATAAGATACTGGTTTCTTAAAAGTTCAAGTGGGGGGAAAAAAAGGAGCAGTAACAGAGTGATCACTGTGGGAGTGACTGTCAGCATTTCCTCCCTAGCCCTTGTATAGTAGGAGACTGATACATGTGACTGCTCTGTTGCAATTCCTGAAACTCATCAGCAGTAGAAGCCTTTAATGTGGCATGTTGCAACTCAATTCACATTGGCAGCAGCAAGATCAATCTTGTTCTGTCTCCAGTTGGCTGCACCCAGCAATAGAGAGGGAGCACTGCTGTTGCTCATGTACACAAATACATTACCCAGGAGGCTGGCAGCAGAGTGATACTTGCTAGAACGACTTTTTTTTCCAGTGGAAAGTTAGTGCCTTGGTAGCCCACTGGACTATTGCCCTACAAATCAGTTTTAGCCCCTATTGACTAAATGGGAAGTGTAGTAAACAAATACTTTTAGGAAAGTGGTGGTGAGAGCTTGTGGAAATAACACTACAGTATTCCCCAATTGCCTATCGTAGATTAAAGTCCTAGGGAAAATCTTGTTACCCTTATGTAGTAAGATGTAATAAGGAAAAAGTTATCGACTTGATAGGATGATTGAGGATGTTTTCTGATGGTTAGTATGGGGAGCTTGAGATGGGACGTCTTTCCAGATTCAGTGCAGATCCACTGTGCCTGTTCAATGATCTGTGGAACAGATATGATAATCTGACACTAAACTTCTCTTAAGGTAAATGAGATTTATTGATCCAAGAGGTAAATTCAATAGATCTTGATTGCCACAATGAGAAATTGACATTCATGCATTCTTCACATTTTCTAAACTATCTGGAAATGTTCAATTTATGGCCATAGCACTATTAGTACTACTAGTAGTTCTTGTAATTTAATTATTTTTTTTTGTAGCTTGTTGAGTAATTGTTTTATTGAATTCATGTTACTTCATGAGTCTATAGTTACATATTCATTTCAGGGCTTCACTTTATTCCACTTATAAATAAAAATTATACATCCCTGCTCTTGTGGTGGTCACAATATTTGAAACATGACATATATTTAAGAAAATGGTAGAATACACTGTTACATACAATCTTGAGTAAAAATACCTACAAATTAATCAGTCAGGATCAAGATAAAATACCCTTCAGCTATTATTTCAATTCTAGTAAGGCTGTCTGTCTAATGAAAGCAATACAGCACCATGTTTTTCAGACCATTGTAAGAGTGTTACATAAAATAGTGTCTGGAATGCTGTGCAAGTGAAAGGCTTTAGTATGCACTGGCATTAAGATAGTTTAGAAGCTAGGACTGGACGTTGCATTACCGACCTACATTTAGATTTTTTTTTTTAATTACATTATAGAGAAATAGAGTTCACAGCCAGCTGCAGGAATTCTGTACTGTTACTAATACATAATTGGACAGTTTTTCCTCCAGTTACACAATTCCCTGCACTCTAGTTCTGATTTTCATGTTCACCATACAGCTTTTTATCAATGACACATTGAATGCAGGGATTTTGCAGAATTATTGTATAATTATTTCTGTGCCATGTAATCGCTCTTTGATTGGTTGCTCTAAGTTCTTCTTGTGCTCCTTGGCTCAGTTTTCCAGCTGTTTGCTTATCACTCCAGTCAGCTGAAACAGAAAAGCTCCAGAATGTACATGGAAAAGAAGAAAAATGGGTCTGTCAAATGGTTAAAGGGGACTTTAAAAAAAAGAGAGAAAATGCACTCGCTTCCATTCTTCCTTCCATCCACTTCACTTTCCCTTGTGTCATACGAGCAGAACTCTTGTTTCCACCACAACTGTTGTATTTGTGTTGGGAGAATCTCAGTCTTTTCCTCCCATTTTAGGGAGGAAATATTGTAAATACATATTGTAACCAAAAATGTATTAATGGGGAGAGAGGGGGAGAAGAGGGGATGAACTTTGCTGAGCCAGTGGGATTGAGAGAAGGCAGGATGGGGGAGGAGCAGGAAAAGAGCAAATCTTTTGTTTTTAACTCGTTAATAGTTTACCTCTCAACCTGTGTGACAAATCATATTGTGTTTTGTATTATATTTGGCTATTGAATCATAAATTTCACAATCAATTTCTGTCCTTCTATTAAAGGTCTAGTAGGGCATTGGACTGGGAGTCAAACCTGGTTTCTGTTTCCATCTTTGTTACTGATTTGCAGAGTGACCTTCAGCCTTCTCTGTTTTCCCCTCCTGTAAAATGCATATGATGTTTACCCTCCTTCGTAAATCACTTGGAATACTATGAGTGAAAATTGTCTGTAAGAGTATAACCTGTCATTATAAACTCTCTAATAAGGGTTAATAAACTTCTTAGCTTCCAACCTCACTTTATTGGCTGTAAATTCTTTGGACTGGAATTCATTCAGTCTAATATTATTACTGCATTAACAGAAAGCAGTCTTAAGTTATCATCATAATTTTCCATTACATTTAAGTGCAATAGCCAGTAAATTTGCTTATTTCACCTGCTGGTGTTTTCCTTTCCAAAAGGAAACTGGCCTAGATCCAAAACAATCATTTCTTCCATTGAACAGCTTTAGGAGGATATACGGAATGGAACTCAAACATACATGCACATGCCAGCACTTAGACAAATGTTTACACAAAGGACTTATGTACTTTACCGTGTGTAATTCATATTGTTGGGATTTTGTGCCTGTTTCAAGAAGCAGTCCTGAAATTAAGATCCTTAAAACTTCAATAGAAAAAAAAAGTTAACTAATATCTAATGATTTTTCTTTTGTTTTTCCCAGATGTTGACCTATTTTGCAGCATTTGAGGTATTCTTTGAGGAAAATCTGCCAAAGTTGTTTGCTCACTTCAAAAAAAATAACTTGACTCCTGACATCTATCTTATTGATTGGTAAGACTGTCAGAGTACTGTATAATTATCAATGTGTACATATTAGTTTTTAGCGTCGTATACATGTTTATATAATAGATGACAAAGAGCTTACAAAATTTGTAAGGGTTCAGTCAGCATTTCTATTTAAGTACTTTCTTTCAGCAAATAACTTTGTTTCAAAACTGTCTACTGTTAAAATGTAGTTTTCATATTAAAATTGAAACAAACTCCTATCCATGCTATAAGTAGAAACTTATTTCTATAAGCAGTTTGTGACGTTCATCTAACCTTTTTATCATACTCATGGCTGAGTTGTGTCCATGCATCAGCTTGCTTCTCAACAGAATTTGCACCTCCCTATCTACCACACATTTGAATCTGCATTCTGGGAAAATCTGGTAGCTATCCCATACTGCATGAGTAGGCGATAAAGTGCCTGGGAGACATGCATATAGAACAGCACATGGGGAGCCGCAGCATGGGATTTTCTGCACAGAGCTGGAAGGAAGGAGAACCAGAAAAACAGGTTGCACAGGCATGGCTATACAGTTTTTGGCCACACAACAATATATCAGTGGTTATGGGAAGACAAATGTGTTGTCTTAGGCCTCTATCTAGTTGGATGAATTATGGTTAGTTTTCAGAGTTATTAACACAGTATTAACTGTGGTGTGTGTTGACACAAATCATGTTTATAGTCAACTGTGCCACTAGTTGGTACAGACCAGTTAAAAGTTGAAGTGTAGACAGGAACATAATGTTTTGGTTAGGTTAGGAGAGAACAAAAGAGTATCTGTTGGTTTCTGGCAATTGAAAGTGTTCTGAAATGTGAAATTGCCTTCAGTTAGTGCCTTTTGACTAGAAATGGAACCACAAATCTGAACCCCTTCAAATTTCAGGGTGAGGAGAGTAGTTGGATATGAGGCTGCTGCTGGTGTTTTGGAAGTATGTTGGCTTCAGAACTCCAAGGGGACTGTTTGCAAGTTTAGGTTTGGATACAGCTGAAATTTCATTAATGGCTGATCAAGCAAGATTTCAACCATTCATCCTGATAGAAATCTCAGGATCAGAATACAATATTTTAATGTTAAATTTGGCGCAGGTTAAAAATGGTTAATCAGTGTGTGCTATCACAACTTCTCACATTTAATGTATCCTCTACATAACCTCTTTTAATATAAGTGGAGGCACCTTATTGTAAAGGGGTTTCTCCTTCCTAAACTACCTGTGCACCCCCAGAGTTGGGGGTTTGGCACACCAGCCGCAGTAAATCCATACATGCATCAATGCAGGAGACTTCCTCAGATTATAAATACTGCTAAGTAACCTAGATAGGTTTGTATTGTCAGTTTTTTTTGTGCTGTGACTAGGTTAGATAAACTCACTGTTTGAGACCGAAAAACCACATTAGCATTCAAATGTGGTCAGATTACATCCAGAAATCTCTGCCAATGGTTAAACCTGTTTTACATTTCAGCCTTAACCATACATTCCGTTCAGTTGGTTTGTTGTGCACAGTTAACGTTTTTTTTAATATTCTACTTGGTTGGCAAATGCCTTGGCGTTTAGTGGCTCAGACTGTCTAAAATGAGAAATGAATTTGGGTGCCTCTATTTTGGTGTGGTCAACTGGAGACTCCTAGAGGGATCTGATTTTCAGAAAGTGTTGATTTCCTGTCCTCTGAAAATCAAGCACTTTGAGGTGTTTAATTTTAAATACCCCAAAACTGAGGCACCTAAAATAAAAATACCTCTTATATAGAGCTTTTGATCAGTAGATCTCATAACACTTCAGGCTTGCATGTATATATTCTCACCACATCCCTGTGTGGTACATAAGAACGGCCGTACTGGGTCAGAGCAAAGGTCCATCTAGCCCAGTATCCTGTCAACCGACAGTGGCCAATGCCAGGTGCCCCAGAGGGAGTGGATCTAACAAGCAATGATCAAGTGATCGCTCTCCTGCCATCCATCTCCACCGTCTGACAAAACAGAGGTTAGGGACACTATTCTTTACCCATCCTAGCTAATAGCCATTAATGGACTTAACCACCATGAATTTATCCAGTTCTCTTTTAAACGCTGTTATAGTCCTAGCCTTCACAACCTCCTCAGGTAAGGAGTTCCACAAGTGGTAGAGAAGTATTATTCCCATTTTACAGATCATCAATCACTTTTGAAAACCTTGAACACAAAACTACACAAATAGCATGAATATAATATAGAGTCTGTATTGAAATCTAGGTTGGATATGTTAATGATCTTCAAGTGCTATTTATCTGTTAATGCTCCAACATTGTGCTTATACAGTATTCATGGAACAAATCTTAGTCAATCCCTGTCCCAAGGTGCTTGCAGTCTGAGACCAATACGTAGCACAAGACATACCAGGAAATCCAAAGGAGGGTGCAAATTTAGGGTATTCTGATTTTGCCCACTTCTTTAATGTAAAATTGGAATGGAAAAGCTTTGATATAGTTTGTGTGGGTGTGTGTAGGGGGGAGACAAACTTTTGAGAGGGATTGCAGTAATGGAAGAATGAGGACATGTTGAGTTGGGGCTGGGATGCTGTTTCATGCACAGGGATGGCATGAAAGTGGGAGTAGGAGGGGTGTCAGGGTAGATAGAGGGGAAGAAGTTACAGTATTCAAGGCACAAGAGTTTATCTTCCAGTAAGTTTCAGAATTGATCTTTAGGGACTCCTGGAGTAAGTATCTTAGTCGATCTCAACTGCTGGGTTAAGTCATGTGGAGGGAAGTGGACTTTAAAATATCCAGGATCCACACTATAAAGCAGGGGTTCTCAAATTGGGGATTGGGACCCCTCAGGGGGTCGCAAGGTTATCACATGGGGGGGGGGTTTACAAGCTGTCAACCTCCACCCCAAACCCCGCTTTGCCTCCAGCATTTATAATGGTGTTACATTAAAAACACTTTTTTATATATTTATAAGGGGGTCACACTCAGAGGCGTGGTATGTGAAAGGGGTCACCAATACAAAAGTCTGAGAACCCCTGCTATGAAGAGTTTTATAAATCTTAGCTAACACGTAGAATTTCACTTGAAAAAGAATTGGAAGCCAGTGCAGTCTCCAAAGTCAAGTGTGATATGCTTCTTGTGAGAAATATAGTTAAGCAAGAAGACAGCCATATTTTTGTATTAGCTGAAGTTTCCAGGTAGCGTGAAGGTTAACTCAAGTAGAGCACACAGATGTCTTTGGTAACCGTTGATCCAAACTGGATCGTAGTATATGTGCAAGAGATAATGTGACACAAAAGAAAACTGGAAAGGTCTGTATCTAACAGGAGTAAACCCAAGTGGGAGAGAAGAGAGCACTTTCTACTGATATATGGGCATCTAAAAACAGATGAGGATTCACAAGGTCTTATATCCACCTTTTGATTGTCCTGAAGATTATGAATATTTAAACATACTTTATTAATAAAAGGATTTCTACAATAATTTGTGCGTAAATCATGCATTTTATATAAAGTTTGCAAGAGGACAACGCTGCTCATCAGCAGCAGAAACTGGATGAGGATTGGCTGTTTAAATTGTAGTTTAAAGCAAAAGCTGTAAAAAGACTGATACTAATTCCTCTTAATACTTAAAATATTTTCATAAATGTCACGCTTGTAACTTCATTTCAATTGAAAGTCTACTAGAGATAGGATTTTATGGAATGAAATGTAAAGATAGCCCCTTTAGTAGAGGGAATAAAGAGGAAAATTTACAAGAGTAAAATCAAGTTAATCTCATTCCTCCATATTTAATTTTTCCCCTGAGTGATGTCCAAGGGACCAGAAAAGGCATTAAAGTTTGCAGCTGTTTTAGCTCCCCCTAGTGTCAACTAGTTATACTTGTCAGTTTCAGTAGACAGGAAATCAAAAATTGAAATGACTTGAATTTCAAAAAATACTTTTTCCCCACATTTTTTAAAAAGCAGCTTTCCAAGAGCTCCAAGGATTTATACGGATATATATATATATATATATAAAAATCTAAAGATAAAGATACTACATTTTATGACATAATCATACCCCCATGATGAATATGGGGTGTAGTGTCACACCTTCTTCTTAAGAGTGGACTTAAACTTGCCCTGCTATGGCCTGTCATTCACTGTGGTTATAGGTATGGCGTTTGAGCCCAGATGGAAGTAAAAGCCCTCAAAATCTTTCACCAGGATGAAATAGCGTTTTTCTGTGTGCTTTACAGTATGTGGTACCAAACACGACATGCTCTTGAGGACCTTTTTCAGGCTCTAGAAGTGCATCATTGATAGGCATGGCTGCTGTCCCGGGAACAGACAGCTGCAGGATATCCACTAACTTATGGGTATTCTTCTGCAAGAACTCCGCCTAAATGCCCAGTGAGGCAGCCATGTGCCACAAAATGTCCTTATAGCCCTTGAAATCCTTCAGCATTGGAGAACAGGAAGAACTAGGCACTGCTGTATTGTCTGGTATGAAGAAGGGGTGGTTAACTTTGCCAAGTCTGGCTCCCATTCCTGGACTAGTGGAGCTGGAAGAGGCAGCTCCATGTGCTCTGCACAGGAAAGGCTCACTGGTGCCTCACTGGTCCACAGTTCCCATCACCAATCTGCCCAGCAATCTCGCCTTCGAGTGCAATCTATTTAGTTATTTACTTATTCCCGTAATACAAGAACTAGGGGTCATCAAATGAAATTAATAGGCAGCAGGTTTAAAACAAATAAAAGGAAGTTCTTCATCACGCAGTGCACAGTCAACTTGTGGAACTCCTTACCTGAGAAGGTTGTGAAGACTAGGACTATAACAGGGTTTAAAAGAGAACTGGATAAATTCATGGTGGTTAAGTCCATTAATGGCTATTAGCCAGGACGGGTAAGGAATGGTGTCCCTAGCCTCTGTCCGTCAGAGGATGGAGATGGATGGCAGGAGAGAGATCACTTGATCATTGCCTGTTAGGTTCACTCCCTCTGGGGCACCTGGCATTGGCCACTGTCGGTCGACAGGATACTGGGCTAGATGGACCTTTGGTCTGACCCGGTACGGCCTTTCTTATGTTCTTATGACTGAGCAGCATCCCATGGATTCCGTGGAGGTCACTGGTAAGGGTAGGCAGTGGGTGGCCAATAGGTGCCCCAGCCCGACTGCGAGATAAGTGCTGGTGCCCGTAGTACTACGTAAATGATCCCCGAAGTGGAGCGGATGATGGATAGCAGGAGGAGGAAGACCCAACCTTGATGTTGAGGAGCCTCGGGTTTCTGGGATAAAGGTGGGGCCAATCCTGAGGGAGTGAGTAATCAGTCTGAGTCATCTGTTGCCCAGAACAAGGCAGGGACTGGTGCCGATGATGGAAGTGGTACCACTGGCACCAAGTGATCGAGGTAGTGTCAACCTTCAAGTCATCAGCGGTACTGGAGCAGCTGATGGTGCCAAAGTGTAGGGCGGTGAAAGCTGCCAAAGTAACATCTGCAGTGCTAACGAGTTTCCTGACACCGAGGTCCCTTGCATCAAGCCTGGTACCTGCCCTTGTTCCACGGACTGTGGAAGGGGAACATCAAGGTGCGGTGCTGACAGACCCAAGGGATTCAGTGGCCCATCGAACCAACGATGCTAGCCTGGCAAAGTCCTGGGCCAAAGGAAGTTAGGATGGAAAGGTAGAGGACGTCTGTAGCCACCAAGTATGCCACCGACATGGAAACGGTGCCAGCATCGCCCTCATTGGTACAGGACTCAACGGAGGCCCTGGTGCCAGAACCGGAGTTGATGGTACAGGGTCTGTAACCTCCCTACTTGGTACCAGTGAGCAGTTATAGGCACCACCCCCCATGCTAGCACTAACCACATGCTGATGCACGCTCTTCCTGGGGGAGGCGAAAGAGTCAATCAGTCTTATGCAACCTTTTCCCCTGTGCACTCAATGGGGAATGGCTCCTCTGTCTCTTCAGAGAGGCTCCTGCTCCAGAATGCGAAGCAGCAGCACTTTCTGAACCTGAGGGCAACCTCCAATCTATAGGAACACTAACTGTGATTCAGAATGCTAGAAAATGTACTTGCAGTATGGCTGTAGCCACACTCCCAGTGCAGAGGTATAGTTAGAAGCTGGAATTAGTAATGATACAATATGAATTACTTGTTTAGTTATCTATAGTCTAGTATTGTACAGTGGGATGCCAGTGACTCTACGCTGAAATTTGGTCACTACTATGATGCTACTAGTGTTAATCAAAACAAATTTGTCTTATCACTCCACTCCACTTCACTTCATACTGCAATAAAGTCAATATTTTGAGCAATTCAGGGGACCTGTGGGCCCTTGGAGGCTAGTGAGAATGTGGTTTGAGTAACCAAGAGGAGGTTCTCTCTTAGGCTGTTGTTTCTGTAGCCTTTCTCTGACACATTCATCTACTCACACAGTTTGAACTACCCCATCTTTTGCCTGTGATTGACACATTTACCTCTTGCTTCATCCATTCTCCACTGGGTATCTTGCCATCTTGTTAAATTCAGGGTAGCCTGAACTGACCTTTCTTCCAAAATTCTCCCCACTCCCATTTTCTGTCACTGTTGAATACAACAATTCTCCTGGTCAGTCAGGCCTGGACTCGGGTGGGGGTGTAAATCTTCAATTCCTCTTTCTCCCTTTGGCACACACCCTCACTGTGTCCAAATCTTGCAGATTCGTCTTACACAAATGTTAGTAAGATTCAATCTTAGCTGTGGCCACACCGCTAAAGCTGTTGTTGAAACCCTCATCTCCCATCATGATTACTAGAACTGTTTCCTCTCTGGCCACCTCAACATGCATTTTTCCCCCTCCAGGCCCTATTCAAAATACAGTCTCTAAAGTAATCTTCCTGGCCCCATGTCTGTCTCTTTTTTTTAAATCCTACCAGCTGCTTCTGCTTCCCCTTCTCTGTTCCATTAAATTCAAGCTTCCCATGATCATCACCCTCAAGATTAAACACTGTTCCCCTACCTTCTTATCTCATTACCAGAACTTTTCCACCCTTGTGTTCCACCAGCTATGTCAGTCATGTTGCTCAATTTGTCTGTTTCTCCTGCAACCATTGCCACACCTTCTTCATCATCTTCCTCTGAGCTGGATATCAAAGCTCCACTACTCTCTCCTTACACAAATCCTACCTGAAGATCTACTTCTTCCATGGCAGCTGGAACAAACTAAATAAGCCACCTATTTCACTTATATATCCTGAGAGAAGTACTCATCTATATGGAGGGGAGCAGGGTCAAATGTTGGGAGATGCATGGCATAAGATCCCTGGAATTTAAACTGGAAATTAGCATGGGAAAAGACAAAAGGCGTTTGGGCGGGGGAGTGCAGTGGGGAAACTTAATATATAAGACATGCCTAATGTAATTCAAGATATTCTGTATATTACATCCCTTTTCCCCCATTCTTTCTCTTTACGGATTTTATGCCCATTAGGGAAAGGAACTGGGTCTTCCTATAGATATGTACGTGACCTAGCACATTTTGAATAGATTTGCAATCTAAATTATACTTCCTGTGAAACAGTGTATATATTTATACCAAATATAAATGAACTATCCAGTATCTGATCACTAACAAACTGTTGTTCAGCTGTTATTTAAGACTTGTGTACCTCTGTGCTGCTGCTTAAATTTTTTTCTTACATCCTAACCCTAAAGATTTTCTTCTGTTTTCAGGATATTCACATTGTACAGCAAGTCTTTGCCACTAGACCTTGCATGTCGTGTCTGGGATGTGTTCTGCCGGGATGGAGAGGAGTTCCTATTCCGTACAGCCTTGGGAATATTAAGACTTTTTGAAGATATTTTGACCAAAATGGACTTTATTCACATAGCCCAGTTCCTAACAAAGTTACCAGAGGACTTGCCTTCAGAAGAATTCTTCACATCTATTGCTGCGATTCAGATGCAAAGTAGAAACAAAAAGTGGGCTCAGGTAAAGAGAACTTATTTGTTTTTGTCTCCTTTGTTTAACAAATGAAGGAGCATTTGGCAATGCCTGAGAAAATGCAAAACAGTGCAGCGGAGTATATTTACGGTTTGGTAGGCTTGTAGATCACTTTATAATGCTGGCAGGTGAACGTTTAGTGAAAAGGCTGGTTGTCCTGAACATTTCCCCTCTGGGAATCAAGAGCTGGATCAATACTCGTTACGCTAAAATTGTGGTGGATCCAAGCTTGAATAGTGGTAGCGTGCAGCATTTTTCTCCTATTAATTGCAAAGGAGGCTAAAAAAACCTCAGACATAGAAGTTCAGTATTACAACTTCATATATTTAAAAAAAAAAATGGCTTGGTTTGTGGGAAAAGATGAGACAACTGAATCCTGTATGAATTTTTTCTCCACTCCATCAGCACTCTGTTGCCAAACTGTTGTAATTAACAGGGATCCTAGAAATCCAATTGCCCCAGAAAACCTGGAATTTGCATTTTTTACAGAGAACCTTTAGTTTTTGTGTTGTGAAAAAATAAAAACATCTTTACTATTAACTAAATTTTACTGAAAGTATCAATGTCACTTATTCAATGCATGCCACTTCCCCCTCTTGTGGTTTTGAATGTGCTTTACACTAAGCATACTTCAATAAACTGCTTCGGCATATAGAGATTATTCAACAGCATATAGGGGTTTGTGTTTTAACGCATCTTAAATTCCACTTCAGCCTCTAGATGTGAGTAATTAAATTATGAAAAGATGCTGAAAACTTTTGTCACCCTTCAAGACCATGTCATTGAGATTGGCAAGGACAAATTTCACGCTGATGGTAATAGGCTGTTCTGTACTGTGTGCAGCAGGGCTGTAGATTACATTTGAAGGCAGACAATTGTAGAACATATGGAAAGCGCTAAACATAAACTGAATGAAAAGAAATGAAAACAAAGCCTAAATCAGCAGGGCCCTCGACAACAAAGAGACAAGGCACTGTGACTGGATTATTCTGTTAATTTTATTTTATCATAATGATTGGCACTGATAGGCTTCAGACGTGCTTAAAATTGTAAATATATCAATAAAACCTGTTCAACTGTTACGTGTATATATATATATATATATATATATATGGTGGGTAGGGAAACTAAAGTTCAGCGTTTCATTTTAATCGCAGGAGAACACACATTTGTATGTATGTTTGATTTTGATCACATAATTTTGTTGATTTTTAACACTGAAAACTAGGATCCCCAGTCATAACCTCAGCCAAATAGTGGTCAAATATGGCAAAGCAAATTTGGCTTTCTGCCCATACTTCTGCAGAGAAGGAAGCTACTTACTGGTAGCTGCATTTCTTTGTGTGCTGAAGTGCGAAAATGTAGAGACCACCTTGGCTGAGCTCTAGGGTAGACCACAAACAGTTGTGTCCTGCAACAAATGTTTGTTTCGAGTGTCCAGGCTACAAGCTATACATGTTTCACTTCAGTGGCTTGACCAAGACAAGCAAATCAGTGCAGTGCCATTTGAGAGCTTCCTTTGAAACCCAGTAACTCAGTCCTCTTCTTTGATAGTTACTGCTACCACTGTCGTCATCTAACATAACATTTATTCACTACAGTCTCAGGCAGTTAAGATTCATTTGGTATTATGTTTTTTTCTCAGGCAATTTCTGGTGGCAGAAGGAGATGTTCTCCTATAAGCGTGGCAGAGTAGAGAACCCAACCTCTAGGCTTCGTGGTGTATGGTTTTGGTTTTTTCTCCTCACCTTAGATTTTGTACCTTGTCAAATGGGATGGAAAAGTGACACAGTGCCCACATGGCAGAATGCCCCAAAGTCTTGTCATGTTAGCTGTGTTTCAGACCTCCCATTTAGTGCAGATGTTCTTTCAAAGTTTGAAACTTTTTTGAAAATCATGCAATAGCTTGTTGGTGCACTGTAACCAAACATGTGTTAAAGTATATTTTTTACTTAATTGTGTGTGTTTTTTTCTTCCTCTCAACTCCCTTTTTGAAATGTCTAGGTACTGGTTGCACTGCAAAAAGACAACCGGGAAGTGGAAAGAGGAAGCCCTTCACTCAAACACTGAAACTATGGTTGCCTCAAATTGACATTCAAGGGAAAAGAATCTGAAGTGGCAAATGTATGTCAGGATGAACTCAATACGTAGAGCTGCAAATAAGTGTGTTGTTTTGAGTTTTGTTTAGCACTGGAATTGGCCTTAAAGAAAAAAATGTAAAAGAAAAACTTTTTAAGTAACAAAACCAAGGCTTAGCCTTAAGAAGCTTACTAGAATGAGTGTTTGCAGTGGACAGCATTATACATTCTGCACTTTTAACGAAGGCAATGAAACCAGGCAATTTTAAGCTTGCCTTTTTTTAATTTCAGTATAAGTATTTTTTAAATACTGGTAATTGGTAACAGTGTGAGTTGCTTTGAAAGCTACTCCCCAGTTTGATTCTTAACCAGAATATACATGCATAAGAGTAGGTGGATTTGGAGAACCTGTTCAGTAACTGGTGCTGGAGTTTATAGTTAGTGAGGTAAGGATCACTTTCTTAGAAATGTCCCCTATTTTTAAAAGCTATAGGCCTCATTTACCAAAGAGACTGTTAAAGTAAAATAGAACTACATTCCATCCCATTAACTGAAAACAAAGACCAAACAAAAACACCATGGTAAGTAGAAAATACACTTAAAAACTAGGGAGGGAGGAGTCAGACTAGCAGTACAGCAACAGAGTCCATTTTCAACCTGCATTGCAACAGTGTTTCCCAATATAGATGCATTGGGAAAGTGCCACATTAATCCCACTGGATACTAAGCTCTCCAAGGGATGATCTGTAGTATTACTATAGCATTATTTCCCATTGGCTCACTCCCATGCCCCTATTGAACAGAAGTAAGATGCTAGTAAATGGTAATTAGCAAGTGAGGTTTGCTGGGGAAAGTGTCAAGAAATGGTAATTCGCTAAAGGGATGAGTAAAATTCATCCATTGATCTAGTTCTTTTTGAGGATAGTGGTGTTTTTAAGACCAGCCTGTACCACACGGTACTACGCTTGAGCAAGTTACGCAGATGGCAAACTGCAGTTGCATATTTCCGTTATACAGCTAAAATTTTCTCTGCCTTCATCAACTGAATGTTTGATTGTAAATCATAAGTGTCCATGATTTACATTATACACTATACAAAAAACTGCGTGGGATAAATTGCTTTATAAATAATATGAATTTCAACACTGAAAAGGGAAAATAACTGAAGCAATATGCATTTGATAGCTGTAAATGGGAATTTCTGAATCCTCTTTAGCTTTGGATTTTATGTTCACAATCACCCTACAGTCTGTCTTTATGCTGACTGCTCTAATGTTGTCTGAAACACAAGTATAGATGAGAGAGAACCTGAGCTAACACAACTGAAATAAAAGTGGAAGTATACTTGCACACACTATTGAATTCCAAGCACATACAGCATATAATGTAAAGTGTCTATAGGATACATGCAAAATACTATCCATTAGTGAAGTAATATATTTTCCTTAAGTGGCATTTTGACCATAATCTTTAAAAAGACTCAAATGCAACTATGATTTTTCTAAATAAGTGCTTCAGGATTCTGTCACTTCAAAGAGAATGTAATACAAATGCAGCTTGTAAGTCTGTTACCTCTTTGGCCTCTCTTCCCCTTCTGCACTTTGTATACCTACCATAATTAGCTACTTAGCTTATTTCTGGTGCTGGCCATTAATTTCTTCAGTAACTGGCAGCATAGTAAACATTCTAGTGAAGGTAAATGTCCAGGCATCAGAATGGCATTTCCTTTCTCTCATCAGAAATTGCTTAGCTTTGGTCCTTTCATGACTGGCATTGACATTGCAGATGCTATGAAGTGCAATAGAAAGTTGGAAAGTCGGTACCTTTTGATCTACATTATCTTTTTAATATCACAGATATGCCTTTTTTGTGAAGGTGTATAGAGGCCTAACATCCAGAACATTTGCACTATAAATTTACGTACTATACATTACGTATTTATGTAGACCAACTTTATCCTCCGTATACATCCAGTTAGATGGTACTGTAGCTGGCTTTGAAACTGTAACTTAGTCTTCATTACAACTTGATTTGTAGGTCCTTTTTAAATCAAGTGTCAGGACACGGTTCACCTACCTTATTGGAATACAGTGTTTGCCACTGGACATATAGCAGCCATCCCCAATCGGTCTCATTTTGCCCCTCATCTAATCGGATATTTAATGTTAACACTGAAAATGGGCTTGGTTGTGGAAAAAGGCCTGCTGCAGCACTTGTGCACTGTTTGTTACTTGCAGATGTAATTATTTTGTTCTGTGATTGATTTTTTTGTTTTGTTTTTTCTTAGATGTATATATTTTCTAATTGATTTATTTGTGTACATAAAGGTATGTTCTTTAAGTAATGAAGAAAAGCAATGCAATAAGGAGCTTTGCACAGTTTATTTTAAAATAAAACCCTGTATTTGGGAAAACTTTTCACCTGCCTAAAGATGCAGTTTAAGCTTTTCAGTATACTTGATTTGAAAATACGCTTGAATTTTGATAATGCTGTTGAGATGTATAATGGAATAGGATTACTTGCCACTATAGCTTTTTAATTTTCTGACCGCATACCAAATATCTTAATTAGCTATTAAGGAAGATTTTCATACTTAAATTCAGGGATTGCATACCAGATTTTGCCATCTTGATTTTATTGTTCAGGGGTACGTGTAAAATGCATTGAGATTTCCCTATTCTCCATCAAAACAGAGAGCTGTTCTTTTTTCCCCCTAACGGGTTTTAAAAAAAATGAAAATGCTGCAATAATTTAGAAGTCTGCAACTTTCACTTTACATGCAGCAAATAAGAGAAACTAGGAAGACTGCACCCTGGTTTGGGATTTTGTGCAACCTGCACTTTACAGTAAAACAAAATATTTTGCATCTTCAATCAGTAATAGTCAAAATGTATCATTTAGTAAAGAATATCATTTTGAAAGGTACTTTATAATGGCTTCTATTTTTGAATGTTTTAAATACTAGAACGATATGTAAAGAACTATTGACACTCTCTGTATATCATGTTTGGTTTTATGTACAATTATCAATTTTTGTTTAGGTAAGGGTATCAAATGAACTTTTTTGAACTGTAAATATGGTTTTATTAAAGTCATGTAAAGTTACCTAGATCACACTGTGTCAATTACAGTGTAATCCAGGCCGAAGTTCCTGAGTTTATATACCAATACCCAACCTGTTGATAAGGAATCAACTCTTCTTCCTGACTCCATTCAATGAATGAACCAGAAACCCCAACTTTGCATATGCTACAATTTCATAGTGTATTCTTTTTTAAAAACTGTTTGTTTTCCCTTCCCTGTTCTGACTGCTATAATCCAGTCTGCTTGAAAATATTTGGAATTGCTTCCTTTTTTTCAGCTAGCACATACTGGCACATATGGTTTACAAAGAAAGGGATTTTCAGGTTTAACTGTTCCCTTCCTATGGGAAAGTACAATATGGCACCATACAGGAACTAAGGGTCCATGGATCTCCCGAGTCTCATGTTAGTCAGGGGTCAGCACCACCGTGTAGCGCGACGGACGCTTGACTAAATTACCGGACTTAGTGACAGACATTGGCCGGGAGTGGGAAAGGGCTCTGGGCTGAGGCAGGAGGTTGGGGTGTGGGAGGGAGTGTATGGGCTCTGCGCTGGGGGTGCGGGTTCCAGGGTGGGGCCAGAAATGAGGGGTTCAGGGGATGGGAGTGGGCTCTGGGCTAGAGCAGGAGGTTGGGGGGGATGAGCGCTCCAGCTGGGGGTGCAAGCTTTGGGGTGGGGTAGGGGGTGAGGGGTTTGTAGGGCAGGAGTGGGATCAGGGCTGGGGTAGAGGGTTGGGTTGTGGGAGGGGGTCAGTGGTGCACACTCTGGGAAGCTCTTACCTCAAGCAGCTCCCAGTCCCCTCTCCAGCTCCAACACGGAGGTACGGCCAGGCGGTTCTGCATGCTGCCCTCTCCACAGGCACTGCCCCCGAAGCTCCTAGTGGCCATGGTTCCTGGCCAATGGGCTGGGAGCTGCAAAGTCAGTGCTTGCTCGGGGGAGGGGGGGGGAACACGGTGGCAGCGTGCTTGCAGAGGCGCCTGGCTGCACCTCCGCCGGCAACAGCACGGGGGGAGACACTTGTGGGGAGCTGCCTGAGGTGAGCCCCCCCACGGACCTCAAAATTTTTACCATGGACACTTGTGTCCATGTACAGACACATTGCCGACCTCTGGTTACAGTTTCAAATTCTAATAATTTTCCTCAGGAGGAAGGGCTTTGGAAGACTAGAGTGGTAATTGTTTGTTCCCACAACATTGGGACACAATGAGAAAACAAAATCCCAAGGAGGTTGCATAAGATTAAATGAATGTTTGTTTTTTAACTGCTGCAGAGTGCATTTGCTCCCTCCATTCTTCCCCTATCTGAGTCAAACCTCCATCCTGAGGAGCTTATTTTACGTGCTTACTAGCCTCTCCTCCCCCAGGCCATATGTACCTGAAAGTGAAAGGAATATTAGCCCTTGCTGCTTAATAGTCTTAAAAGAAAATGGCTTATGTGACACTTTCTCTTACTTGAGGCTTAAGACCAAAGGAACAAAGTGTAAGAAGACTCATTAGCCACTGTCAGAGGAAAGGATACTGAGCTTGATGGACCTTTGGTCTGACCCGGTATGGCCGTTCTTATAGTCTTATGACTATTTAAAGGAAATCCAACTACACTGGTAGGGCTTTGGAACATACCCCAAAAAGTAGGAATAATAGATACTGTTCTTTTGGAATAGTAAGTACAACGGAAGATGGCGTTTATGAAGCTTGTTGTATGGTGAGAGAGAACTGTAACTTGATCATCATACTGAGGCTCAAGTAGATAGTGTGTAATTCTATTACAGGGAGTCTATTACTCATATGACCTTATATCTTTACCAAAACAATTGAGTAGGAAACCAAATAGATGCTCTACTGCACAACAGTACATCTTTAACTTAAAATTTTAGCTGGAGAAGAGCTTACCTATTTGCCTGAGTAACGGGGCTTAACCTGAAAGAAACGGTTTTATAAATAAATTATTTCCCTTTTTCACTTAAGATGTTGGCCACTATATTTATTGGAATATGTCTCCATGTGCTGGCTAGTGTCTAGAAGAGATTAAATTGGGTAGTGGTGTTTTGCCCCAATTAGTCAACCTATTTTGTAGTCTCTCATCACTACTGGAGATTTAGTAGAGCACCAAAAACCAGAAAGGCTACTTCAGAGATCACTTAAAAAAATAGTTGTAAACTTTTTTAGAAACTTAATGCTTTTTAATCTACTCTTTTATATATCTTAGCTAAGAAAACTCAGAATAAGTTTGTTTGCTGATTCTAGCCAAGATCTAGTGCACTGGACTTACTGAGAAGGCAAGAATATTTGTTGTTCATTTTGTAATTAGAACCTCATGATGCTGTCATTTCTCAGATGTATGTTGAACATGTGCAGACCTTGAGACTGATATGTCTAATGATGCTTATTGCATCAACTTGTGCAGTTTAGGATCTGTACTAAGTCCACAGATGAACCACCATGACTTATTGGAGGTAGGAGAGATTTGGATTTCCATGTAAAGTATGTCTAAGGCAGAGGTGGGCAAACTATGGCCCACGGGCCACATCCAGCCTGTGGGACCCTCCTGCCCGGCCCCTGAGCTCCCAATCTGAGAGGCTAGCCCCTGGCCCCTTCCCCACTGTCCCCCCTCCCCTACAGCCTCAGCTCACTGTGCCGCCGGTGCAATGCTCTGGGCGGCGGGGCTGCGAGCTCTTGCCGGGCAGCGCAGCTGCAGAGCCACAGCCTGACCCAGTGCTCCGGGCTACGTGGTGGCGGCGTGGCTTGGTCCAGCCAAGCGGCACGGCTGCCTGTCCTGGTGCTGGGGGCAGCGTGGCTGTTGCATTGCCAGCCACTGGTGCTCCAGGCACCAGGGTAAGGGGGCAGAGAGGGGGGGGGGGGGCGATATGTTGGCTAGAGGGCAGGGGAGTTTGGGGTGATGGTCGGGGGTGTGGATAGGGGTTGGGGCAGTCAGAGGACAGGAAACGGGGGTTGAATGGGGGTAGGGGTCCCGGGGTGGCAGTCAGGAAGGAGAGGGGGGGTTGGATGGGGTAGCGGGGGGCAGTCAGGGAGAAGGGAGGGTTGGATTGGGCAGGGGTCCCGGGGGGGGCTGTTAGGGTGAGAAGCAGGGGGGTCGAATAGGCTGAGGGGGCTGGGTCACGCCTGGCTGTTTGGGGAGGCACAGCCTCCCCTAACCGGCCCTCCATACAATTTAAAAAAACTGATGTGGCCCTCAGGCCAAAAAATTTGCCCGCCTCCTGGTCTAAGGGTCTATTGCCTTAGTATGTAAATGCCAGTGTTAAAACTACTGCTTGTCATCTTGCTCTCGAAGTACTGAAGTTATAACCCCCTGCCACTGTTCTGACCCACATCATTTCACTGCTATAGAGACATTTCTTCTTGCTTTAGAAACCAGAAAAAGGTCAGGCACTAGCCACTCATTACTTACTAGACCAGTGCAAGCTACGAGTGGGCTGAGAGAGCCCTCTCCAGCTCTGCCCTCTGCAAGCATTTTTCATCCACCAGTGGCCAATATGTTAACTCCCTCACAGGAATGATTTAAGGATTCATTAGCATCCATAGTTCTGCAGCTCTTTCATTCTGTGAACATCTTCATAAGAGAACTTTTCATGGATCTCCCTTTCAACTCTCTGCTGCTTGGCTGTCAAAATGTTTAATTCTGTGGACCACTAAGGAAAACGCTGCAGATCACTGGTACTTCACCAACCATAGCTTGAGGATAATTAGGTTAGTTAACACCTGTACAGTGTATTCTGCATATAAATACAAGACAATTGCTATGTATTAATACTAAAACAAGCTCCTGATACATTGTTTTATTTACAATCTATATATATCACTTTATTTTTTGTAAAACTCTCTGAAGATATAATCCTCAAAACATGTGAGAGGTCGGTAAGTACACCTACTTTAGAGTTGTGAGGAACAGACTGCCAAGGCCACACAGTGAGTTACCCTCAGATTCCAGTCCTGGTTCTGCCAGTATTTGACTTGCAGTTTTTTGCTTACACCAGAGGGTGATGCTGCCAGCGATTAGAATAGTGCCAGTGTGTGTGTTTTTTAAATGCATACTTAAAATATCAATATGATAGAGTAAATAGCCAAATATGCTTGGTTTCTTCATGAGCCATTGAAAAAGGCAGAACTTCATGGCAGTCTCCTGATGGAATGTATAACATTAAAACTTTGGAAACAAAGTTTTCATTAGATGTGAAAGTGAGACTATTTCACCCTTTTACTATATTCCAAGCCTGTAAATGAAAAACAATTTCAGAGACAAACCAATTTAAGTGCTCAATTTTTGTTTTTCTGTCTTTTAACCTCACTTTCTCCAAAATCCTCATTCTGGTAGAAAGGATTTTGCTTCCTTGATTTTTTTCTTTACGGCTTTGCAAGTAAGAGTGAGTCCAGCATGGTGACGTTTCAGCATCTCCAGCCGCTGACTGAGTACTTCAGCAGCATCCACTTTGTTCTCGAAGTCCCGCAGCAGTGCCTCACTTCCGAGAAGCCCACACTTCTGTTGCAACTTCAAGTTGTGTACCCGTAAACTATCCCTAGCCTGTTTGGTTTTGGTCAGAATCTCTCTTTTCTGGGCCACCAGTGTCTCAGTCTCCATCAGCTGGGCCCTTTGGTCTTGATTCTGAGCTTCTACAAACTGGAGTTTTTCTTTGAGCTGGGTCAGGACTTGCACTGTATTAGTGATCTTCTTCCGGAGCTTGAGAAGCTCTTCATTGCGCTCCTCAATTTTCTCATTGTAGGTCTGGTTCTCTATCTTCAGCTGCTCAAAGTCTATCAGATGCAGTCCTTCTGCCAGCTCCTCTTGAGCTTTCAGGCTTGCTTCAAGCTTTTCAATCTTATGCTGCAGTTTGATGTTTTCCAGGCGGACCTAGAATGGTAAAAATGAGAGACCAGGAAAGATTTATTAGCGTTTCCAATCCACCTCTCTATCAGGATAGGCCTTCTTTGTGCTTTGTCAAGTCTAAGTATAAATGACATAATTCCTGAAGCATCTTCCACTGATTTTTAGCAGGTGCTAGATACCAAGTAGGATTTTCAAAAGTGGCTCCTTCATTTGTAGGTGCCTAAC